AGAAATGATGGATTGCTCGAGATTTCGCTTCTCCTAACGTTCTTTAACCTGGCACTAAAGAGGGAACATCCCTAGGATTGGCAAATCGGGTTAACAGAAGAATAAAGGAACGAAAGCTGCGTGAAGGAACAAATATATTGTCCCTGAAGGTCATCGTCAAATCGAAAAACGAATATTGCAACGCGATACAAAATGTAGACGGATATTCCATCCGGTTATGATAGGCAAAATGTTGCGATAACTACTTGAAAGACGTTCACCACCGGTTTCATTCCATCAGGCGTAGCAGGGAACTAGCCGCGTCTCTTATCTTCAATGAGCATGCGGATGACTGGGACCAGTAGGTGATGACTTGTCGCACCGATTCCCAAGCAGCTAATTCATCTTCTGCTGACCCGTTATTTGTGGATACTGCAGAGGCTAACAGGCGAATACGGTGGACTTTGATCATTTCCTCTGATTGCACGTTTTTGTCTCCATGACTGGCCGCGATCAAGGCAGTCCCGATTCCTAGGATCAAAGTGGAGACTGCTTCCGGATGGAACTGGGTCACACCGCCAGGACCGTGTGTGGGAGCCAAACTGAGTAGTGAGAAACCCATACGAACGCAGAGGCTCGGGAGGATACGCAGATATGGAACATCGGTATTGGAGGGGTAGGAACTTGTCGACAAGTATGAGAATACCGCCAAGTTGTGGATGAGTGTTGCCAGGGCTATCTGTCGGGTGGAAATTGATCACAGAAAGTAAGTTTGATCCTACATGTGATCTGTGCCCACCAAAGGATGAAAAATCTGAAAACAAGTGTTCACCAAGCAATCACAGTCCTGACTGGCAGGTCAATCGATCGTCNGGACTGCGCCTACCTGATGAGCCCCAAAACGGACGAAACTGGTCGTTGGCTGTCGACAAATTTTCAACAATGAGTAGTATAGTACATTGCAATATTTAGCAACGTTTTAAAATCCTGCTCAAAGGACCGTACTTGGACTACGGCCATCACCGAGCTACGCTGACAAGACGATAACAGTTAAGGCATAGGACACTAAACCTAACAAACAGCTCTTCAGGAGAGTCTAACCACGGATCAAGGAGTCTTGTGTATATCGACGACGATGTTCGTAATGAAGAAAGTCATCTTTTGATGTCAACTCAGAAAATGCAAACGGAATACGATGAATGCGGAAAACTTTGTGAGCATTACCGGTCATCAGGACGTTCATAGGCTTAGGTCTGGAAGCAACGATCTGTCTCAGCGGTATTGTGAATCACAGGGTTGGAAAAGACTCGGTGCGTTACTTTCACTCGAATAGCTAAAAATCTAAATCTCCCAGCTGTAACACCCTTTCGATGCCTAGCTGCCATGCCTCCCGAAGGAGGCATGAGGGCTGGGGTACTGCCAGGTTGCCCAAGCCTAGACAGGTAAAGTCAAGAGGAAGAGGTCGGGGGTTCGAACCACGGAACTTCCGGTCAGTAAATTCGCGCTTTAACCACTTGGGCCATCTCACCCCTTATTGTTATTATTACTGCAGAAATGATGGATTGCTCGAGATTTCGCTTCTCCTAACGTTCTTTAACCTGGCACTAAAGAGGGAACATCCCTAGGATTGGCAAATCGGGTTAACAGAAGAATAAAGGAACGAAAGCTGCGTGAAGGAACAAATATATTGTCCCTGAAGGTCATCGTCAAATCGAAAAACGAATATTGCAACGCGATACAAAATGTAGACGGATATTCCATCCGGTTATGATAGGCAAAATGTTGCGATAACTACTTGAAAGACGTTCACCACCGGTTTCATTCCATCAGGCGTAGCAGGGAACTAGCCGCGTCTCTTATCTTCAATGAGCATGCGGATGACTGGGACCAGTAGGTGATGACTTGTCGCACCGATTCCCAAGCAGCTAATTCATCTTCTGCTGACCCGTTATTTGTGGATACTGCAGAGGCTAACAGGCGAATACGGTGGACTTTGATCATTTCCTCTGATTGCACGTTTTTGTCTCCATGACTGGCCGCGATCAAGGCAGTCCCGATTCCTAGGATCAAAGTGGAGACTGCTTCCGGATGGAACTGGGTCACACCGCCAGGACCGTGTGTGGGAGCCAAACTGAGTAGTGAGAAACCCATACGAACGCAGAGGCTCGGGAGGATACGCAGATATGGAACATCGGTATTGGAGGGATAGGAACTTGTCGATAAGTATGAGAATACCGCCAAGTTGTGGATGAGTGTTGCCAGGGCTATCTGTCGGGTGGAAATTGATCACAGAAAGTAAGTTTGATCCTACATGTGATCTGTGCCCACCAAAGGATGAAAAATCTGAAAACAAGTGTTCACCAAGCAATCACAGTCCTGACCGGCAGGTCAATCGATCGTCACAACCAGGACAGTTACTGGGTCGTCGTTCGATGAGTCGGGCACACCAATCACATCGCTCGAGTGTGAACACGTTCGCCTGTTCAGACGTGATAACTCAGATGCGTCCAACGTGCGTTGGTGGAGTAGTGGTTACACGCTCGCCTCGGATGTCAGATGTCCGGGGTTCAGACCCTGGCACGGCCATTGGGTATGCACTGCTGATGAGCTCTAATAAGAGCGAAACTCGAGTCCAGTGCTTCCCTTTAATGTGAACTCACCGGAATAATTACGCCAGAACAGAAACACGGTCGTTCAAAAGAGAGTGGTGGCTATGAACAATCACAGATAAGTAGATAGTTCTGCTTCGTGGAAACAGGCTCCCTGACGAACGACGACGTTACTTTCCAATATCCAGCATGGCATGCAATGCCCAGCCTAAATCTGCACGACAAAATCAGTCGTAGGGGGAGACTGGCAACTATGGATGAATTTCCGGTGGACGAAATAGAGAATAAGCAATCGAACTTCTCAGAAGCGTCGAGTACCTTAACCAATCTCATCGAAATACCCCCAACTAACCCAGCGCAACCCAAACAAACGAGTGTGTAAATTAAGGTGTGCGATTTTGGTCCATTATAGTTCATTATAGTGACCTGTTACATAACTGTACTACAGCCTCCTGATGAGTCTTATGACTGCAGTGTACCGAAAGGATACTGGGCACTCGAACGGCCTGTCTGTAGACAGTCCGATTCAGGACAGTCAAAAAAGACAGTGTGTGTTCGTAACAGTCATTGGGTGGACAGAGCATCAGCATCACTAATGGTGCCCAGCTTCGCCGCACAGAGTAGAAGGACCATTTAGTTTGCACTTCTAGAGCATATAAGCAAAAGGCGAAAATGCTGCGATGATAAAAAAAAGGTAAATTCTCCCAAGTAGCAGAGGCCAGATTCGAACCACGGACCTTCTGGTCAGTAAGTTCGGGCTCTAACCACTGAGCCATCTAGGCCAAAATGTCTTCCACAGGGAAGTCAGTTCGAATTTCTCAAAGCGATGACGGTTGGAAGCGGAACAGTGATAGGTGGTTCTAAACTCAAATAAATTGCGGGAGGAAAACGTGTAAACATCAACCAGACACGCTAAGTGTAAATAGGAGAATATGAACCAATGGAATGACTGGAAGGTTGGAAGCGTCCTTGAATACAGGTGTCGGGATGCATGTATGCAAATCTAGTTAGCGTTAATAATGGGATACTCCAATGAACCCAAAATGAATCAGTCATTCATTCATGCTATACCTGATGCCACACAAATAAGGCATCATGATGATCGCTAACTAGTAGTCAAGTGTTCAGGCCGAACGCAGTGCTGGTTAAAATACGGAAACTGTGTATACCCGGCGAGACTTAAGAGTAGCGATCCCTCCGAGCGGCGGATAGATGGGAACCTCAAGCAAACATCTGTGAGGATGAGTGAATAGTAACTTGTGTTGAAACGATCGACCAGGACAAACATTGGACGCACGCTGGTACGTCCCAAAGACCGAAGTTTCAAGGTACACACTTTTATAAGTATGCCTTTCGCTAAGCGCACTTTTTGGCGCAAAATGTATGCCGCGCTGTCATGACTGGCTTAGAGTGGCAGACCCTAATAGGGCTCCATAAGTTGGACAGTTTTAGCTCACGGAAAACCACATTCCACGCTTATAATGTACATGGTATGAAGCACCGTAACGTCGAATGAAAATCAGTAATACGAAAGACTGGCAAAAACTAACCTGATGTTGCTTCCGCTGGCAAATTTCGAACTTGGTACTGTCGACCAGATGAACAAGCTTTTGGCTGGACCCAATTACTGTGACCACCGACCTTGGAGGTGCAGATTTGGAGATCAGCAGATTGGGAGCGTCTGCTGCTAGCGTATTCGCAAGCAAACGCAAAACAAGCAAGCAGTTTGCTTGCGGTAACTCAGCATGTCCCAAACTCAGGTTGTACAGCAAATCCCAGTGAGACTCCTCGAAAATGAGGAGACTGGCTTTGTTGTAGAACACCAAGCAACGCAAGAGGTCGAAAAACGGGAACACTTTGTCTTGAAACGGGGAAAAGTGAAACAGAAAGGCGGTTAGCGAAGTGAACAACTTGCGACAACAACAAAGGCTGCACAGCGTCCACAATTAAGGGGATGCTTTGGCATCAAGAGGGTAGCAACCGGCTACGCCAGTACGAAACACACGGACGAAGGGGACATCAGTCTACCCGCATTTGATCCGTTTACAACCCGAAAACTACTCAGATGTGTAAATCTAGACCAATTCATGCCATGACGCTGATGACAGGAAATTTCGACTGCCCAGTTGTTGCGCCAAATCTGGCAATCTCAATATCGCTGCGCATCAACTACTAGACCTTCCACAGCGTCACTACCGGGTGTTCGTTCAGCTGTAGCACAATTTCGGTGACTACCTGCCATGCCACACGAAAAAGGCACGAGGGCTGGGAAACTGCCAGGTTGTCCAAGCCTAGAAAAAACACAGGTTCAAGTCAGCAATGCTTGTACGGTATTTAGTAGGATGTGGCTTAAGCGGATGCCTCATTCAACTCCATTCAGTTAATAGTTCACGGTGAAGAAGAGAGAACTTTATTTGTGCAAGGTCGCCGATTTTTTTATCAGAAGACAATACAGTAGCACTACGTCCCACTAGAGATGCCTCAACTTCAAATACGGAAGAAGCTGAAATAAGACACACAGCCGTAGAACAGTAGAAAAGTGTCCTCATTCAGCATCGTCATTGACAGCAATAAACCAATAGTGCACGCCGATATTTTACGCGTCTGGATTGTATCATCCCAATATCAACTCAACTCTGTATATCTGTTTTTGCTGACAAGTAGACGTGCATTAGTTGAAAAATTAAAAGGTCAAGTACTTCACATCAGAGGACCTAGAGTAACAAATCGGTCGTACTCTTACCTACAGGCCAGCGTGGAATAGTTTCGAGGATGGCAGAAGTGAGCTCCATCGCGGAATCCTCAGACAGGTCAAAATCAAATGCCCGTATCAACGCCATCGTAGTCTCGTCAACTGGACTATCAACCAGCTGATTGAAAGATTCCAACTTCGCTTCAGTGGAAAAGAAAACATGGGCGATAATAAGATGGTGTGGAAAAACACTCACGTCAATGGTATCATACAACAGCAATCAGAAGTACTATCTGGCAGCGTAGTAGAGAAGCAGTTAAGATCAGGCCGGCATGATACCGTCAGCGTGTCTACATGTAGCATCAAACGATTCAGCGAAAGTTGGATAGCACAAATAAAAGTCTTGTCGATTCAAAAAAAACAGATTAGATTAGAGTACTGTTGTACAAAACAAGAAAAATGCAAAGGGTTGAGTTTTTGTCCAACGTAAAAAACCGACTTCTTTAATTATGGTGATCCCGCTCAGAAAGAGATGCCCTGAACAGCAATCAATTCCGGTCAAGTCCGTAGCAAACAATCCTCATTGGATTTGTATAGAATTTCTTGACTGTGGAGTAGACATATCCCAATCCAACGGAATCCACGATTTTATTGCTCGAGGAGCTATTTGGCCACACAAGAGAATACATACATGAAAATACAGGGCCTTCAAAGGTAAGACAGGGATTTTGAATGACATGAGTCCGGGGCGCAAGCCAACAATGTTTGAAAACTGCTCAAAATCCGACCAAACTAGTTGAAGAGAAGCGATGTCGAATCCATGACATTGCAAGTGAGAACATCTTCTTTCCCGATGGAACCCTGTCTCGCCAGTCAAACATTGGCAACCTTGTCACAGTCGGTTACGGTAGGGTATGTAAGCATCGCTTACTAATTTTAGTAGGCGATGCCAACATGCCAATGAGAATGAATCACAACGAATCATGATGAACACGTGTGACTGTCATTGGAAACTGAAGAAAGAACGTTCTGGTACGGAGTAAAGAAACTGTGAAAGAGTGGGGCCCTGGTGAAAAAGGCCTGAAAAGGTCTAAAGACGACAATGAGCGTCATAAGAACCTCGGGCAGTGCTAAAACAAACAAATCGGAGGCAATACACCGACTGAAGATATCACCGGCGGGGTCAAACAAACACAGTTTACGAGGACTATATAATACGAATCCAACATATAATGAAAGGCACACGTCAGATGTATAGTCCCTCCAGGAGGTGACAGCATGTTCACCGATGGTTAGACCCCGTTAATTATAGGGTTTTCAACCAGGAGGGATCACACAGCATTCCTTTGATATAGAGCTACCGTGCCACCAACAGAAAGCACGAGGGTTGCCCAAACACGAACAGGAATAGTCTAGATTGAAGCAGCACGTCTGTTCTGCCATTGTGCGACCAAAGTCCAATCATGATGTAGTTCTCGCACAGGTGAGTAATGCCCGCCCCAAAAATGTTAACTTGGTGCTGTTTACACCAAAGATCCTCGAATACCAACTATGGTAAGGTAATTTGTGGATGACTGCATCAGCATCGGCTTCAGATGAAAACCTCCGCTGAGCGAGGATGAAGTTGGATATGAACAGAGATTGGAAAAGTGTGTTTTAAAAAAGGAGATAGAAGCAAGCAAGCAACCGTAAATCATGCTAACATACCACACTTAAGGCAGCAGGTCACTTGGTCAGTTTGTTTTTATTCACCAAACGAGAGTGAAATGAGTGAGTAGTTACGGACGTCATGGCGGTCGGATGTTACGTGACTGCAGAGTGGTCTGACCTATCCGCGTTTTTCGATCTATTGTTGTTCCCATTCCCTTGTTTAATCCAGTGCAAGCTTCCATTCATTCGGCGGACAGTCAAATGAATGAATCGACACCACCTCTGCGTATGTATGTTCCACGCTATTAACGTGTGTCACCGTTGTAATGGTGTTCCTGTGGAGGGAGAGCTGGTCCGAACAAGGACGGTCATGACTGAATTTAAGTCAGCTACCCAGTTGGACACAAGACACGTAACCATGGTCACTTAATTCAGTATGTGTCTGAAGTCACTGAAACCACGGCGTGTCAATGGTCGTCCCATTCTGCATGTTTCTATTGTCCCGACTCGCTGTATGTCAGACCATAGTGCAGTTCGCGCACATCTTGAATTGAGACGCACTTTGAATTGTTACGTTTCGCGGTTTGTATTTATACTGTGGTTCCGATTACCTTATCTGCTGTTTGTCACAGTCCTGCTTACTTTTATAAAACTGATCTCTCAACCGTTCAATGTTCCTGGCACTCTAATCTCGAGTTTGCGTATGGTCGAACAACGGCGAACGACGGCCTTGTGGGATGCTTCAGACTACCCCGGGTTTCATAGCAACATAAAACAAGGGGCATTCTGCACACGCTGTTTAAGCCTGGAGATGAAATATGAATATTTTGTTCAAGACATAATGTATCTGCTTACAGCATCACTTTCCTCGTTTCGAAGACGCCTTACTTCGCTTCCGAGCACATTTCAACTGCCCTTTTCTAATTTGACTACTTATACATTAATAAATAGTGTGTAAATGATATGCAAACGAGGATACAAGTGTTTACTGCACACGGTACGCAGAGGATGGATCAAAGACGGAACGAAGAGTGAGAAAAGTTAACTCAACTTTTGAAGCTAGAGCCACGTACAACAAATTAACGAAGACTTTATGGATGGCGGCACAGTAGAAAAACCTGTTCCGGTCACAGTAATATTGTTACCTTGGAC